TGGAAATGTGCCCGGTATATGGCAATAGGCTCACCCCCTATTACATGGGACTCATAACATAAATAGTGAAAAGTGGGTGTTACATACACGTACGTGCTGTGTACCTGCCTATCCCTTCGGGGATAAAAGGCGTGAAGTTATGTATGTATGTATGTATGTAACTATAGTTGTTTTTAATTTTTTTTGGATTATTTTGGGTATAAATAACTTATGTTTATGTCCATGCAGTTTTTTTGTTAGTGCAATTATTATATTCCCAACAAACTAATAGACGACCCATAAAAAGTAAGAGTATATGCAAATTGGGCATGTAAACATGTGGTCACATTGCACACAATGTAAATATTAACCTACATGACACATAATGTTCATTAAACAGTCATTGTCCCAATAATAATCAAATCATCTATATTTAACTACAAACAAATTAACACAGTTTTTTATCATATTACTATGTTACATTTACTTAATTTCTACGTATACTAGCTTCTGCCAGCGGCTTCGCCCACGTACCCATGGGATAAAAGTAGCCTATGTGTTTTTCCAAGACCATTATCTACCCCTGTTCCCAATTTCAACCCACTCTCTTCAGCCGATTTGATGTCATACACAAACTTTCGCATGTATAATATTAGTAAGATATTATATTCGAAGTTAAAAATAAAAGTAGTTTTATAAACAAACACTTTGTTTATTGTGAAATTGTACTTCATTATGTCAAAGTAAAAAAACAAGTTGTTGCATTCCTTCTTATTTACAAAAAATCTACACAATCTACAAAACTTAGTCTATGTCCATACCATAATTTCTTAAATCACTAATTCATTCACACATTTTAGGCCTCGGTAAATGGTGGCATTATTTCGTCAATAAATATAACATTCAGATCGAAACAAATCATGTATCAACAATTACACCACATACATTACTACTATGTATTGTTTACACAGGAGATTTCTCCTGCAGCGGGACTTCTTCAGGCGCAGTTCCGTTTGCATTAACATTTGCTCTGTCGTTTGCATTTCTTGAGGGTGAACTGCTGAATCTGTTCCTAATGGAACTCCAATTTTTCTTAATTGTTATACCTGCCACCACAAGAACCATTCCAGCGACAATCATTCCGATCACGCTTTTGTCGACGCCACCCGTTTTTGATCCTGAAGTCGTGGCCCCGACTACTTCACTTTCTGGTTTAGCAGGTGCTGTGCTACTAGACTCTGCTTCTGGTGGTTGGTCAGATGTTTTAATAATTGCAGATCGAAGTGAAAATTCTCCAACTGAGTTCTTGGCGTCTGGTGCATTAGCGATTGGGGCCTGTGGTGTCGTTTCTACATTAACCTCTGGCGCAGCTGGTACATTTGACTCTGTCTCATTATTTACATGTACTTCCGGTGGGGAATTTACAGCTGGATCACCGGCATCTTCCTCGGGTGTGGCTCCCAAAGCGATAAGTCCTGGTAATGCGAAGTCCAGTAAACCTTCTTCTAAATCTGAAGTTTGTGGTGCGTCAGGACATTCAAACGTTTTTTCATTACATGTTCCGGTACACACGGATACTAAAGATTCTTTCATTGCCGCACACAAGTCCTCTGCCAGATTAGCTGCAGTAGTTGGTAACGTCAGTGATCGAAGAGCTTTGAAGTTAGTAAACGATTCCGGCTTAATACCCTGAAACACATAATTTTTACATTACGTATGTATATATGTATAATTGTCTGATATCATTTTCATATATGTTGTTTTTATTCACATTTGCGGTTTCGAACTGCCTTCCAACTTAAGAGTTTATTTAAATCAATGAACTAATGTCCGGCAATTACGATGCGATACGATGTAACCGACAAACACCCATAATGAATTGATGTTTGACATGAAAAGGGATCACCACGAATCGTTTGCTTGCTTTAGGTACATCTATTTAAACAAGAAAACATTTATAAATAGTATTATATAATTACCGTTCTCATGTCGTTGCCTCCCAAATCAAGTTCTTCTAATTTAGTTAGACCAAAACCATTCTTTAGATCTTGCGGATATTCTAGAAGTCTGTTGTTTCCAAGTTTCAGGCTCGTTAGCTCAGGTAGTTCACTTATAGACTGAAATTGAAATAGGAGTTTGTGTGTAAAAGCCATCAGTTTAAAATAGAATTATAAAATTTTGTGTATTCTTGATAGGTTATGTCGGTACTTGCTCGTTAACACTCGAAACGAGTAAAGTACACAGTCTACGAATGACGTCTCTGCCGGAAGTGAGTTAAACTGGTTATGGAGATGGATTTTAGGACTTCAGTAATATTGACCTACTATGCGTTCGACACAACTCACAACTACGTAGTTATTTACATAATTACTTGAATAGTATTGAAACCTTTATGAACATCTCAATTTTAATAATTACAATTGTAATTAAGAGCGTGGTTAATTTATTGCGCTTTTAGTGTCTTAAAAATAGATTCAATTTCAACAACGCTTAATACTTACACCAGAATCAATCTTCATGATTTCGTTGTTGTTAACATTCAGTACTTTCAAGTTCTTCAATTCAGAAATCTCTTTTGGTATTTCAGTTATCTTGTTATTCTGTAGGTTAAGGTCTGTAGTTTTAGGATCCAAAGGTTTCGGTAATTCAGTCAGTTCGTATCCAGAACAATCCACGATATACTTGTTTGTGTCTCCCTCTATGTTGCAGACACATGGTTTAGGACAAGCGTGTTCTTCTGGTTCGACCACTGGTACGATGTTTGTTAAAGATGTCAATTGCGCGTCGTCTAATAACAGCGCAGATGTCCCAGTACTCGCTTCAAGCGGCTCTTCGATAATTCCTGCCCCACTACCCTCTATAGCGCTGCCGTCAGCTTCAGGATGATTGTCGGGAGGAAACTGATTGTCATTTTCAACAGGAATGTGTAATTCATCGTCACTTTGAGCTATTGTACTCCTGGAAATTGATATTAATGCAGTAATGACATGTGACTTTATCGAATTTATCGTAAGGTGACGCAAAATTGTTATAAATAAGTAGGTGATAAAATCGCGATAAGTGTATGTACTACAAGGGCGTAACTAGCACACTGTCTTAAACTTTGATTGATAGAATGAAAATACACCTACATTTAGAGTTAGACATCAAGGACTTATGATGTCTTGACTGCTAATGTTATTAGGCTGCTTGCTGTTAAACACAGAATTTCCCCTACAATGCAATGCATTTTTTTATCTGATAAAGAATAGAATTAATCTCAGTCTTTTACAAAGTCCGATTAAGTTGCTGTTTGCCTTATGGAAATTTCATATGGAAAACATTTCAAAATATGTGTCAGTTAAACTAAATCAGACATTGTGAAACAATTCCAAACTCATTACAATTGGTTACCTGCATTGTTTATTCTATTGGCGTTGATTAAGAACATAAAAATGTATGCGTAAGAAAATATTACTTATGCTATAATTGCAATTGTGCTTAACTGTCTCATGGTAAACAAAAACATCGTAATAGTAATAACTAAATAATATTAGAAATATTGGTGGCAGTGAAATACTAGTTAGTGAAATTCGATTGTTCATTCTCGTTATAGTACAGATAAGTATGTGGCTATCTGTAGGTAGAGGCGAATAAAAATATAAGATCCAGTGAAGGTTAAATAAAACAAATAATAAATGTGTACTTACGCAAATAGAGCCAACAATAGCATGAAAAGATGTTTCGACGTCATGGTCACTCTCAAATTCTAACAGCACAAGGTAGAAATACCAATTGACTTCAGGAGTTGTTACCTGTCGTGGCACAAGTACCAGCGTACAGTACAGCACATAACTCACTGACACTTATAACTATTATCACTCAATGATAAGATTATAAACGGCATGGCAGCTTATCGCAAATCAACCACGATAACGACGCTCTGCATAAACGAGAAAATATTAGGTGGCCGATTTTCAATATCACCTTCGACTGACAAATAACACGCAATGTATGAAGTTACCTACGGTTCTGTTTACACAGATATATGTGTAAATGATCACCGCCCGATACACCACGACGGTCTTCATTAACTGCTAGTTGCTAATTCTACAAATACACAAAACCGCCTATGTTAATTATATATTTGGCAGCCGAATTGCATCAAAATCCACCCTGAGATCCTTACATAATCCGTAATCACCAAATCACTTTACTCAAATACAGGCAAAAACGTTTCACTTTTGAGAACAATGCCGGAAATCAATCACAATAACGAATATTCATAAGAAAGACAGAATTATCGAACTTCACACGAAAACGCACACGTACACTACGTTATCTCTGCTTCACTGATGTTACTGGTACTTTGCTGATGCTTCATGTCTATAAATTGCTGTATTCTGTAAAGTTTAATGTTATACAACACAGCTGTTGGTTTTACTTATGTGATGTGTAAACTACAAATATGACACGATTCCTACGTCGCTTCGGAGGTAATTACACTTATGATTTAAATCGTTATTGTTGTGGTTAACGCTAACAATTCACCATTAGGTTAAATACATATTTTACTAGCCGGTCAAGGTCCTATATCTGATCCGCTAATAGATTGCCCTGTTTCTGGTGATCTACGCGCCGCGGTAGTCCGTTAACCGGTGAACGTAGTAACTAATAAGATAAACATTCGCAGTTTTATTGCTCAAAGGAATGAAAGTTTGCCTATTAATACACACACATTAAGTGTATTCTTATAACACACTGTAAAGACGTAAGGACTTATTTTGTCTACCCTCGAATTGGGTAAATGTGAATCTCCGCAGAACTGTAATGTTATTTTACCTCAAAAAAACGTACGTATTTATGATGAAGCAATTAAGTTTTACTTCATCAAATTAATTTCCAGCAGTTAAGTATAGAGGTGCATTTTATAATACTTAACACGCTAAAGAAAATACAAAATAAGGGTACAATTCAATGCATCCAAAAGTACTCACAATTATATCACGACTAATTTATATTATATATACCTCACAGCTTGCATCCCAAGATACCTATACCATAATACAATTAACCGTAATAAATCCTTGATTTTATAAATTATACTTATTCACAAAGATTCACATTCACAGCTTTGGAAGGAACCTTAAACACTTCAAAGGCATTAGCTGCCAGCCTGCCACACAACAACTGACTTTTCTTATATTTTTTATAGTCAACATGTGTTTTACTGAAAAGAACCTCTAGATTTAGAATACTATTCATACATGAATGATGATACACTACAACAATACAAAAGAAATAAATTTCACACATTCCATTAACGATGTTGCATAAATTACATGTAGCAAATACATAGGTACAATCATTACTCGAGAAATGAAATACATTGTATGTAGTTACTATATTTTCCTAGCCCCTCTGACTAATCAAATTCAGTTAATTTTTACACGAGCTCCATCTATCCGTGACTAGATAAAGAAAAATTGAACAATGCATCTCTTAAACTCTAATCTCAGCCGCGAGCTGTTCGAGCCAGCTCATCCTATCTATTTTCTTTCTCTTTTGACGTGCACTAGCGATGTTGAAGAGTTCCTGGATTCTATCCAATCGCTTCATTAGCCAACAAATCGTTAATGGAACCGCTTGTTCTGTTTGTTCAGTACTGCAATGGGGGAGACTTGGCGGACTATTTGCAAGCGAACCGTCTGCTCAGTGAAAGTACCATTCGACTGTTCCTGAGACAGCTGGCTGAGGCGATGCGTGCTATCCACGCTAAGGGTATAGTGCATCGAGACCTGAAGCCGCAGAACATCCTTCTCACACACAACGTCGCTCCGCCACGCACTCCGCATGCATCGGAAATAACCCTCAAAATTGGTAAATATCACCGTAAATACGTTATTACTTAGCTGATTTCACCATAATCAGTCGGAAGAAATATTTCGTTATCATATCCGGCATAATGTTGTTATTGAAACTTACCTGTAAAAATTATCTGAGTCATATATTTCAATGTAATCTGCGACAATATTTAGAACACAAGAACATCATCCATAAAACTCTATTGTATACGCATTGAACTGTATCCTCTATAACGATGAATATGATACCTATAGTATAGGTATTACAAAAGTAATCATACTTAATTCTTTTTATCTGCAGCTGATTTCGGCTTCGCAAGGTTCCTTGAAGAAGGAAATATGGCCGTCACGCTGTGTGGTTCACCGATGTATATGGTAATGTTATTTCCATGAATATAATATATGCATAGAGATCTTTATTTATTATTAAACTTAATTAAACAAAATAGTTATGAATAGTCTATCAATTACTTGTTCTTTAATTATAGGCGCCAGAAGTAATAATGTCACTGAAGTATGACGCCAAAGCAGATCTCTGGAGTTTGGGCACGATAGTGTACCAGTGTCTCACTGGCAAGGCTCCTTTCCAAGCCACCACACCACATGAACTAAAAGCATTCTACGAGAATAGCGTCGACTTGCAGCCTAAGTGAGTATTACTGATATACATAAATAAACACAACGACATCAAGAGAAGAAACATTAACCTCATATTTGTGAAACAATATCTGTATGACTATTAATTTCATGTTCACAAGAAATATCTGGAACAATTTATTTTATTCACACCTAACTCGGACGTTTTTGTGGTTAGTTTTTATTAAGCCCAAATGAATCGGCTAAGCGTTCAAGGTTCTAAGACGAATGAATTAGAATTGGCTCTGTGACAACTTTGTGACATGTTAGCGTTCGATGATACAACAAAATACGAACAGAAAGCGTCCCTACCCGCCAAATATTTGTAAACAGTTTCAGAGCGTCCGATGCCATCTACATTAAGTGTATTTTTAAATTCTCGTCCTATCTCAATGTTTATCTGTGAAAACATATTATGATAATGTAAAGGAACTATTTGATTACCGAATCTTACTCGCTTACGAAATAAATATTTACTCAGGACAGGACCAGTTTGAAATTTTAAATACGTATATCCCTCTTGCGTGTATAATTTCATTTATATAAATTTATAAAAGAAAGTCGTATTAGTTACACTATTTATAACTCAAGAACGGCTAAATCGATTTTACTGAAATTTGGTGGGAAGCTTAGAACCCAGGAGATGGATTATCCAAGCATATTCCGGTATTCCTACGGCAACGAGAAAAACGGGATTGCGCGCACGAAGTCGTGGGCATAATTACTTTTTTTTTTAATATACTTATAACGTGGAAGAGTTTGTTTGTTTGAACGCGCTAATCTTCGGTACTACTAGTCCAAATTGCATAATTATAATTATTTTTTAGTTGGGTTAGTTGGGTAGTGCATTTATCGTGGAAGGCTATAAAACATCACATTATGATCAATAGGAGCAGCGGGTAAAAACTGCGCAGTAGTACTAGTAGTTATTTTATATTCGCAAATAATATTGTGATCGTCATTTTACAGAATGCCAGCAGGCACAAGTCCTGAGCTCTGCAATTTACTAATCGGCCTGTTACGACGAAATCCTCGCGAGCGAATGCCCTTTGAGGCCTTCTTCAACCACGCTTTCTTGCAACGGCCACGGACCAGCTCCATTAACAGTAAGTTACAGACGAACTTGCTTGCTATATCCCATACTAACACGTTCCTTTATCACGCTTTTTACATCTTGAAACGCACAAAAACTAAACCATACGTGATATGATAATTGCGAAGTGAGAAATATACAACTTGAGACAAGTGAATATAAGCCATGTAGTCAATGGCTTTGTAAATAAATTATGTACAGTGACTCATTAACGAGAATTCAAAGTAGGTACCTAACATTGAAAACTGAATACATGAAACTAATCAGACCGAGTGACTAATCACTGCTGACCCGTTCCATTGTTTATAACCTATTCAAATCCCCTGCTTTCTGTGCTACGTAGATTACCAGCAGTGTCTGGTAAAAAATACCATCCAATTTCCAAATTAGGACGATGAACTTGACTTCCTTACAATTATATACTCTGATAAAAATCATCATAAATCTTTTTAATCTGCCATATTTCACACAATACAGACATTTAAAAAATATAAACAGTCGAAGCAGACATTAATTGCATTGATAGAACTATTTTATCATAATAATAATAATGAAAGTTATAGCAGAAACGTTAATTGCAATTTTATCTCTTCGGGTATTATGATTGAATTGATCTAGTTTACTGTATCGAACTCATTAAATTGACGTTAATATATAGTTTATAGCTAAACAAACATCGTCAATGATATCACTTCATTTGACATAAACACAACTAGCTCCTAGTCCATGAATTTTTGAACTATTTATGGAGGCACTAGATATATATCTTTGTAAATACACAGACACACTACAATGCTCGTCACGGTGTATGAAGTTATTCATATTGTTCAGGTTTGGACTCGGATCTGCCCGACATTTTGGAGAGCGATCTCGAGGGTCGGCCCGATACTAACTGTTACCTAGAGGAGTCATGGGAAAGTCAGGGTACATCCTCACTTATTAAATTCGCTTTAATTGTGCATGGGTTGGGGGTGGCGCATATTTTTGTAATCTGACCGATAAGTGGGTTATGCTGTGTCGACAATAGTTCTCTAACCAAACAGTTAGTGTCATTGAAAGGCATGTTATTATTCCAAAAACGTTGCATATGCATTAAAAACAGTCATTAATTTGACCATCGAGTTTTACAAGAGTACTACTGACGACCGGCCACCGTCGACTCACACTCGAAAGTTCAAAATCTCAAGGACTATGGTATCACTTGCAATCAATCATAATCACTGCTTGCCACTAATATTTAAAGCTTTGGGTTTTTATTTTTTTACTATAAAATTCTTTTATTCGTTTATGTACAATTTGTCAATGTATTGCATGAATTGTACTTGGCGTGTTGATGTTGTGGTAGGGGTGTGTAATTGAGTCGGTGTGACGCAGGAGTGAGCGTGACCCCTTCCGTGCCGGGGACGGGTGGGTCGGGCGCAGTGGGCTCGGCGGGCCCTAGTGCGGCGGCGCGACCTTCCTCAGCGCCGCGCAGCTCCAACCCACTACAAGCGCAGGCGCTACCCACTCTTCAGACGTACAAGAAATCACAGCCGACATCCTCCGGTAAGCAACATAGTGATAGGTAACATAATGAACTCCGGTGAAAAGTTCAGTTAATTCGGACAATCTCGTGAGCACCTACTTTAAAATTATCAATATCAAGTTTCTATATATTTTATCTATAAGATTATCGTCTTTACCTTAGTATAACTTTTAAATTATTATGTCATTTTGGAACTAAATCGACCTGTCGACGTTCGTTTCGTTTGACTCTGCGCTGCATGTGTAAGATGGTTTGTAAAACAACGTTTTAATTTACATAATATGCTATTTACGCCGTTAATTAAACTTGAGTTAAAAACAAATGACATTGTTGAGCAAGTGGTCCGTAACACAATGAAATCATTTCCGTTTTATTCATTGCTTTATGAAGGATAAAAAGTATGTAGCTGTATTTATGTTTGCCTGTATTTTTAAGTAATATTTACTATATTACAATATTCTTATTGATGATTCAATTTTATATTCTATTCTAATTACAATTTCTAAAATACCAATGTATGAACATAACTAAAACGTCCACAAAATAAATATTTATTGGGAACAATGACTACACTTCTTATTAGGTATTTGGGAAGCGCAGTTAACAAAGAATCATATTCATGATATTTCGCCTTCACCCAATAGGTTAACTTAAGGGCGGAAGAAAAAGAAGGAACAATGGACAATATTCATTACAACGCCTATAACTATTCATGTAGGTAACAGGTACTAATTAAATACCAAGTCAAATGATAAATAAATAATATACATAATATTTAGGGTAACATATACCTACAGCAATATGCAAATATAGAACAAGACGAAAACGAAACTTACTATGAAATACAATAATTTATGTTCTTCTCGATTTTTTTAGAATTTTAAAAATAAAATTATTATCCATCAATGAACGTGTATCATGAATTTCATGATTATGATCTACGATTTACGAGGAATTCGCGTGCTTCAAGTGACTAGACAGATTATGGACAAAAATAAGTTATAATTCGTGACGTCTCAACATCGCATCATTTTCTAGAATTATTATTATCCATTTCATTAGTATTTATTTGTTTTGAAAATAAATATCAGTCGTTGATGTATCTTTTACTTCTTGTCCAAACGTTTAGAGCCGATATCGGTGAACTCTATGCTTGTTATTTTACTCATGCATATAATTATTGATTATTGTTCTCTTTTTGTTCTTTGCACTAGATTCAGATAATTAATTAAAGTCTTTAAATTCAACCAAAAATATTATGTAAGACTAAAAAATAAGATTATCGTTATCTTGCAGTGTCACCAATGATTACATTATATTAAAGGCGATCGTTTTATCAGCATCAATAATACACTACAAGACGGTTTCAGATAATGAGTGACGCTGGTTCACATTTAGTACCTAACTAGCTATATTATTTACTCAGATTAATGTACAACTCATGATGCTTATGTAACACAGGTTTTTTTGAAGTCACGTGTCGTTTACCACCTTTAGTAACAACGCTTATAACACTTCCGAATACACTTGAGCAAATATTAAAGAAATATCTCCAATAGCAATGCAACGGTTCAAATGTTAATAAAGTCGATCATTGTTCTCGAGTAAACAAATTTGATAACCCTCACTAACCTGCCCTTGGGCACCTAGAGCCGGTATCAAGTTTATTGTAATGTAAATGCAATAACTTATTGTCTGTTCCGCCATTATGTGTAGAGTTAATGCACTCATTTAAGTGTTGCTATGAAGTTATCTACAGCTTGCTGCTGCAGATACTGATTGTCCCACATTTTGATTACTAGTAGTCTTTAAACAACCTTCTTGTTAAAGTTACTGAGAAATATTTATTTTAAATAGTGTCTATTTTCTAATGTGAATTATTTTCAACTTAACGACAATAAGTTTATCTGAGCACAGATTAGTGATATATTACCCTCTGGGCCAGTTGTTGGCGTCAATAAGAACAGGGTCAGTAGTTCACTGGGCTAACCAGATTCTAATTAAAACTGTTGGACCAAGTCAGTGTCACTGTGCGCTGCTATATGTAGGTATAGTTGTTACAGTAACATTTCAATCTACAATACTCATTGTTAAATTCTAGAGGTTTGCGCAATCCTATAGGAAGCAAAGCATCTTCATTGCAGTTAGGTGTGCATCATATACCTATATTTATAGCAAGTTTATACACTCGTGTTAATACAAATGAATGTGCTCTCAGCCGAGTCGTCAGACACGACCTGGGCGGGCGAGGACGACTTCGTGCTGGTAGAGGCGACGGAGAGCGGCTCGGCGGAGTACTCGGGCGCGTCGTCCGGCTCCGAGGCGGCGCCGCGGCCGCGCTCGCTGGCGCTGGCCGGCGCCGGCCCGCCGGCCGCCGCCGCCGCGCCCACGCCCATCGCGCACGTCTACACTGCGCCCGCGCCGATCACCGTCAATAGGGTACTTTACTTCCCTCTAATAAACGATACTAATAATAATGCTATGCATTTCATCTATCAATATGTATCTCGGACTCCGCGATGTTTGCAGCTCTAAAATTGTAAATAAATAACTGCACATAACAAGCTATGGAACCCAAGTATGCAGCGTCGATGTAGACTTAATTAGGTAATCATTCTACTAATGCCACTCGCTAACAATATTATGTTGTTTTAATTTAGTATTCGTCAACATTCAACTTTAACATTCTATGTGTTTACAATAGAAGTGTTCATTGCAGAATCCACTCGCCGTAACATCTAACAATAACGTACCACGATCACAACCCATCGACGTGCTTCGATCGAACTACAGCCGTAATGCCACCAACATCGGCTCTCTTTCACCACCCACTGTGAGTATTCATTGCACTCATTCATTGTAATATTTACATTACGTAGTGTATAAAAGTACCTCTCAAACTATACTCAGAAAGTAATATAGATTTTTCTTTGCTTATATCAACGGCCTGAGAGCCTTTGAGCACAAAACTGCAATAACTTTATTAATATTGTTACGTTAGCGACACGTGTTTGCATACAATTAGTGTTGGGAGCACCTACACGTCATCTTTTGTCCCGCTAAACCGTTACGTTTCGTTTACTTAGTATAATGTAATACCAATTACCCACCATGCATGTTGCAAGTGTGAATAATTTTCCACTTACTCATTATATTTGTATTTATTATAATCCTTGTGTACGAGATAGCAACAAAATTATATTCACGCAAGTGTTTCAACATAATAAATTACGTAAATATTCATCTTGTTACTTATTTGCGGCAGTTACTATTTGTCTCCATTTGTGTATAATTATTAATTATGGAATTTTAGGAATTCAATCTGCATTTTGTTACTAAGGTAATTTAGCAATTTCATTGTAACTCTGGCAGGTTCCGTTCACGATGACGCCGCCGTCGACTCGGCGCCGCAGCAGTAACTCTGGCAGCTCGCCGCCTCCCTCGCTGTGGCAGGTCTCTCCCACCAACGCCAGCCCGCTGCGCAGATCAGGTTATTGCTCTTTCTCAATTTATGTGACCTTCCTTTTTTTGTCTTATTTAGATTGCGTTCGTACACATGATCGTTCATGGGATGCATTCCTAACTACTCAGAATAATGGAGAATGATAATGACAAAGTGTAGTGTGGTATACAGGGTCGTCTCCGCCAGTGTCACTGGCGCTGAAGGCGAGCGGCGAACTGACAGGCGGCGGTGGCGCCAGCTCACCCAAGCGGCAGGCGTTACCCGACGCATTACTGCGCGGCATCAAGCTACACCAGCCACCAGACCCGCCCGTCTACATTCCCAACCTGCAGGAGGAGACCATCCTTGCCGTGAGTATTAATTACGCGTCGGAAACAAAGTCACTAAGTATAAAGACCCTATTAAATGGTACTAATGTAAATCTCAGGAGGAGCACAGCAAAGTATTCTCTCAGCTGAACTTCGTATTGATGTTGGCGGAGCTCCTGTCGGACCTGGCCGTGTCGTGCGGCGCGCCCATCGCCGCGCTCATGGACGTCTCGGACGGTATGTAGGTCGCGGCTCGCGTCGTACAGTATACAACGTGTACGAGGGCGAGCCGAGCGTGACGCGTGTGTGTTCCAGAGCGCTGCAACGCGCGCGTGCGGCTGGGGCTGCTGGTGCAGGCCATGCAGGCGCTGGCGGCCGGCCTGCGCCTGGCCGCCGCGCACTACCGCGCGCGCACGCTGCAGCCCACGCCGCAAGTCAGGAACGGTACGATACCAACTCTCGTTTAACTTGTCTATCACGCTATGTATTCATTGATACGGGTCCTTGATACATTGAATAGAAAAGATAGTTAAAACCATTATTTAAACTTGTAAGTCTCATTCGAAAGCTTTCGAGCTAGTAAATATCATGTCCCACTTTATGTTTTAGTTGTATCCCTCATGAACGGAAAATACAAGTGGATTGTCAATGAATCGAGGAGGCTTCATGAGGCCGGAGTTACTCCTGCTGTCTGCGACAAAATTCTCTACGAGCATGCGATTGAACTGGTATGTACTCTTTTCTTTATCTACATTGTTATGATTAGCAGACTTGATTAAAAATAGCTTGCCTAGTTTCGAATATAAAACACCTAGTAAATAATCTCATGTAATGATTTTGGTATGTTCATGTAAGAAAATAAAGTTATAAAAAATACTAATTTGATGAAATATGGGTAGATAGTATTCACGTAACTTACGAAGATTTTATATAGTTAATTGTACAACATTTTATGTTTAGTGTCAAATGGCGGCCATCGAGGAGTTGTTTGGTGATATGAAGGAGTGCGAGCGCCGCTACATGTCGGCGCAAGTATTGCTGCACTCGCTCGTCCAGCGCCATCCCTTGCATCCGCAGCATCGCACCACGCTCTCCAAGTGTCAGTACTGCTACTCGTACGCATGCATTACTTCAGTCACGCCTACTCGTCAATTCATACTTATATTTTCTACTTTTCGTTACAGACCGAGACGCCGTGCAACGACGACTGAACTGCCTCAAGGGGCCTCGTAAAATAATGGATGTAAAACTTGAGGCCGGGATCTCATAATGCAACGCGCAACTCAGGCGTAGGAGTAAGCGGACGTGATGCAACATGAAAAGTGATTTTATTTTGTTCTCAAAAAATGACTCTGTGAGAAACAAAATACTATATAATCTAAAAATGTATAAAAATAAAAAGTGAATTATCAATTAAAATCATTGTATACAATCGTTTAGCAATGAAGAAAAATGAATATTACAATAAATCGCAATAGTGAATTATATTTTTTATATTCAGTACATTTCACAAAGAAGTTCTTAGTAGATATTATTAAAATTATGTTCTATACCTTATTTAGCATGGCAAAACGCAAAACTAAAGTTAAATAGATACTTATTTACCCACTATGAATTACATCTAGTTTAGGATGTCTGCTTACCTAAATGAGGTATAGTAAAATGAAAAGATGATTCAATAAACGCTTTGAAATGAATATAAATATAATATTATATAGTTTCATAGATGTGTGTCTAGAATTTCTTTAAAATAAAAATGGTTGTATCATTTAGTGAGGTTTGAAATTTTAGTACTAAGCACTTTTCACTTAAGTAGCGAACTGTTCTACATAAATATAAATAATAAGAAATATACGAGTTATTTTTTCCAGTCATCTACATTTTAGTTAAATAAATAGGCATAAGATAGAAAACGTAGTATTGTTTCGGATTAAGCCTCATTAACATTTTATTATTACCAACTTGTAGTTGATCACGTAAAATGAAAATTATGAAGTAATTATGTCTCGGTATAAATATAATGCTATAGAGATCTCATTGACGACCAATAACAATATTATGGCATTTTTAGGCTAAGCTACGAAATATGATTTGAAAGTATTTTCCTTATAATGAAGATTGTATGATTGAATGAATTTTAGTATATTTTACTCTCCTTGTTTATTTTGCCCATATTGTGATCCTGAAATGTATTTTCTCCTCTCAAAATGTCTACTGCTTTACTGAAATAAGAATAAAGACTGTTGTATTATAAAATTAATTTGTTTTGTTTTAATAAAATCTTATTTGTAACATTACTACCAATTACTATTATTTCAAAATATTGGTTTTAAGGTCTTATGATAATCAACAAAAAAGTCACACACATATCTAAGTCATTTTTATTACTTCGAGTCAATACTGCACGAAAACTCCATTACCCTGTTTGAGAAATTTGTAGGGCTTCAGTCTATTACGTCCTCGCACTGGACAAAACATTACTTTATCTGGTGGAAACTCTGAAGAGCCTGTAGTCTCGAGGAGTATATCTAGGCATGTCAGTAATTTGGTTATCTGTATAGAAAGTGTATACTGATTTTTATCTTCTGAACCCAAATCTGTGTTGATAAATCTTTCAATATCTCTAATATCATCATTTATGCCAGCATGATGTGTTCCATTCCAGTGTAGGGTAAGGGAAAACATTGGTGCCTTCCGAGGATAGTCACTACGCAGGGCAACCAATGCCACTAACTTTGCAGATTGACGAGTTATTATAGCTCTGTACAACATATCATTAGGATTAACTAGTCCCTCAGCAATTAAAAATGATGTTGAAGGTGACTGACTATACTCAGGCCAACCAACAGACTGCCATTGTGTCAATGAGCCGGATAACCTTACTGGACATGGAAAATCTCCTTTCACTGGTACAATTTTTCCAGATTCTAAATCCTGCAATTCTTTCATCAACTCAACTCTCGATTTCAATCGTTTTTTTAGCGTCAGAATGAAATTTTCTACTGTACTAACACTGAGACTTGGACAAAGATTATTATTTTTATTAATCTTTTGATCTTCAGTTATAGTAGCCATGAAATCTAAACCACACATCCGTTGAGCCCAAATATAAGGCTTTCCAAGTTCTGAGATAAAATACTGGAAGTCTTCACTGATGCCAGCAGCATTCAACAAATAGGATGTGGCAGGGTGAGGAGAGTCACAACCTGTGTCTCCTGGATACAACTCATTCAATATGCAATGACCATTCAAAACATCAGCTGCCGATACACCTGTTATAGGTTTTGGCAAAGAAACAGTAAACTTGACAACAACTATTTTTAAGTGCAGCAGGTACGAGAAGATTAAATTCAAAGCAGTTCCATCTTGAACTTTGACAGACACTTGCACATTCAGAGGATGTTTTTTCAGAACCTCCTTCTTTTTAGCTTCAGCTTTCTCTTCTTTGGATATCTTGGCATTTCTATGGTGGCGCTTCTTTTTCTCTCTTTGATCATCTTCATTGTTTTCTTGATCAGAGTCAGAATCATTAGATGCTACAAGATCACTATCCACATTACTCAGTTGTTCTAGCCTTCTTGCTTCATCCTCATCTCCAGAAATGCCTGCAAAGTCACAAGAGAATGTTGAAAGTTGATAAAAAAATTGTAGCATGTTAACACAACAAAAAAATTGAATCAAAATATTGTGTTTGATAATTAAAATTGTGGAATCTTTAAATATAAATAAATGGTTTAACACTTACTAACTGCTACTGAATTGGAGCCCAATGCATCAGAGTAAGCGCTGGTATTTGCAAATAAAAGGAACAGAGGACATGGCAGTAAGGAAGCAGCTCTAGCTTCATCCCTTTTATCGTCGAGTCTAAGAGCTAAACATTCTTGTAGTGGCTTAGTAGATTTCAGTACATCTCTTAAATGAGGCACCAAAGCATCAAGTCTGGAGCGTGCAGCTGCTATAGCTGCAGCAACTCTCTCCTTAGACGAGATCAATTCATTACAGGCTGCAGATAATTCGCGGCGCTGGCGGAGTTCCCATTCCAATCTAGCAAGTTGAAGCTGATGCTCATCAGTTTTAGTCAGATCCTAAAATTGTAATTATTAATCAATTAACATTTATAGGAATTTATTGAATGATACATAGAAAAAGTATTAATAATCAAAAAATGGTATTTTAGCTATAGTAAAAAAAATAACATTCATTAAAGTATTTTACATATTTATATAAAGGTGATTCCTTTACATTAATATGTAGAATATTTTATTTTAGATATTAGTCAATTTTATTATACTAAGAAATCAATCTTTTCTGTTCTTACACATATTATTATTATTAATAAATTAATCTTTACATATTCATGGGACCATAGGGTCATTTGGGAGGCGTACTAGGCCCTTTACTTTAAACTATCAAACACCATGAGGACACTGGTGACCTCAACCTATTGTTCTTTAATTGTGTCTATAATGACGGTAATCAAAGGGTTAATACAAATGTAATGGAGACACAAACCGGTGACTATTCCTGTATGCACTATGGGATTGCACTCAAGGACAGACCCTGGTTTCTGTAGACCTATTGTAGATAATGGAGAAAATAGATGGGACTATGGATGGGTTTTTATTATTATAAAACTGATGGTTGAATTTAATGTTTCATTTATGTTTTAATTTAATGAGGAAGGTATAATACTTCATGCTGTGACCAATAAGAGCAGAGTAGTGGATGAAACATTTTTTTGATGAAATATTTTTTTCTTGGTAGTTGTTACTATGCTATTGTTAGACATAATTATTAATTCATTGCACAACTACAGTATTTTAATATTTATAGTGATTGTTAATACTTACTGGTCGAGATATTTCCAGAGGTGCATTTGCAAAAAAGTCTTCAAGAGAAATAAGTTCTATTTCTTCATCTTTAGATTTAAATTTCAAGCACTTGGTGACTTCTTTGTTGAGATGATCAGCTTCATATAATAAATTTTGCAAGAGCAGGTGGGTGGAGTCCACCCTCTGTTTTTCCTTGTGTAGAGCATCACGACCTGCCCTTGTACGAACTTTTTCCAAACGGTTCAACTTCTTCAATGCAACCAAGTTCAAAGAAGCTTCAATTCTCTTGGCATTAATTTTTTCTCTAGCCTAAAAGACAAGATATAAATATTATGCCAATGCCAAATGTATAGTACAATTAAAATATAAAATGTGATGTGTTCATAAAACAGACTTCAACCTTCCCCTTTTTTTTTGAGGTTGTTTTATTAATATGTGTAACAAACATTTTCCTGAAAACTGCCTTAAAATAAGTTCACTCAATCGCGAGATAATCTCACATAAACATATATATATATACATACAAGTTTACTTTTTGTTTTAAATCGGTTAAAAACATTTTACCTCGTCTGTGTCTTTAGCTTTCAATTCTGATATTTCAGCAAACAAATGTCTTATATCTTGGCAAATCTTCTTAAATAGCGTGGCGTCTTTTTCAGCAGGACGTAGTTGGGCTTCTGATTCTTCGAACTCTACCACCCGCTATAACAAAGAAATAAGAAAATCACATACCTATAAATAATAGGCGTGCTAAGAAAGTATTCATTTTCAAACAGTAAAATGTTAACCTTATAAATATCAACTGGCACTTGCTTAGAAGTATCACTCGACGAACTTGTGTTGATTTTACGGCGCTTTTTTGCCGACACGTCTTCTTTTCCCATGTTTCTATTGATGGACGTTATGAGATTTATAACTTTAATAGTAAATCACTTGTTTTGATGTGCCTTATCTCTTATACTTATCCAAATCCAAAGAAAGAACTCCTATCAAACTTTACAAAGTCAAGAGACAATTAGCAAAATGCTTGACGCTTGACTTGAACATGAACAGTGTCAGTGTCATATGCTCATGGCTCATGCATGTCTATGGATATGTCACTCTTCAAGTAAACGTCAAGTGTCAGTGACGTCAACCACCATTTTTTACCATGCTTACCCATAGATTTATAAATATAACATATATCAGTGTGCTTAACACATAACATCAACAACAACCAACTCTTAATGAAACAATATCATATCTATGGTAGAGAGATATTTTTTATTTACAGATAATAAAAACTTAAATAAAATAAAACTGAAAACAACTATTCACACATAGCATCGAATAATTCATCCGCATCGACGTCAGTAGGGAAAATATGATTATATATATTTATTATTAAATGTATTATTATGTCTTTACCATTCACGGGACCACAGGTCCCGGTCATATGGGAGACGTACGAGGGGCCGAAGCCAACTGCGCAGAGGCCCTATAAACAACTTTAATCTAAATGTAATGGACGCACACAAACCGGCGACTATCCTTGTATGCACTATGGAAATGCACCCAAGGACAGTCCCCGGTTAATGTAGAACTAGAGTCCATTTCACGAAAGAAGTCCCGCAGACGCAGCGCTGTATTCGCGCGACATAATGTTGCCACGTTTAAATTTATATAGTATGGGGAAATCAGGAGAAATTGACATTAGTTTGATTAACTACGTACTCAAACAGTTCGAGGAATATTTTAAAAATAATGTCTTTTTATATAGGTATTTATGTTTATACTGCTAAGGTCAGATTAGTGAAAAATTAATCTTCCTGTAATTTCTAAAATATAAAATGGAAATAAAGATGTTCAACCAACATCAAATTAGAAACATAAAATAACATTTAAAAAGTTTTATTGAATAATTATGATCGGTCATACTATGATCACTGTCAGAAGAGTGAATAGAAACAGAATTAGATTCTGTTTCATTATCACTAGCCGTAGATATAATAAATCGATGCATTTCTTCATCCATAAGACCATCATTTTTTAAATATTTTTCCTCCAAATGCTGTACATGTTTGCATTGAACTGCCCAATCTTCCGCTGTAACAGTCTCGAATGCCTCTTCTGTTAGGCGTACAATTTCTTTTGGATCTTGGCCCACGTTTTTAACCGCTACCCGTCTGTTTATAACACACGACTCTCCGACACACCTGCAATAAAATGAACAATTTAAAAAAATCTAACTGACTTTTTCCGCATTTAATTACATTATTGTTGAATACAATTTTACACATTTTTGTTGTGTTATGTTAATTCCTCATTAAAAAAACTTAAGTCTAATTGGTAAAAAATATGTTTAATATGGCAGCCCCAAAAATTACCTGTTATGGCGGCAACTCTTTTGCGAACATTGTCTAATGGTATTAAAACGGCGCGATTCTTCTGTTCCGCTTCACAGAACTCTTTCACTTTTAATATCATTTCTCGACCTGCACTTTTTACAACTTTTGGCATCGTAAATAAACCTTATAATGCACTAATTTAATAATAAACTCACAAAATATCTACCACAACAAACCCACCTTGACAACATCGACAAACGACAACATGGCCGAACTCCCCATTTGTCAAATTTAGTTCCACAATTGTCCGCGGGACTTCTTTCGTGAAATGGATTCTATTGTGGATAATGGAAGAAAAAAGGTAGGGCTATGGATGGGTTGCTGTGGACCGGTAAATTGGAAACTATGGATGGCACCTGAAAATATGGCACCTGCCGAAACAATGTAATTATTACACGTAAAAATAGCAGGCGAAGACTCGCCAACTCACCGACCAGGCCCCGGGAATGGTTGCTAGATATAGCAACAGAGGGGCGAGAGAATGTGAGTGGCTGAAGGGTTCAGAAACTACCACCGCATTCTACTCAGATCATCTGCTCCAGGCGAAGCTTCCTGCATCCCTGGCCCACTCGCGACTTACGAATAGTTACTTACCCTCCGGAGGATCACTGCTCTCGCGACTCCACTCTGGACGGCCAATGAAGGCAAGCTAGAGGTGGGAGACCTGTTTGTTCCTTGTCATTGTTCACTCCAGCCAGCCAATTAAGGCAATCTGTAGAATAAGGAACGGTGACTTCTCCCTGGAGCACTCGGGATTATGGTAGCCCGCGGGGTCGCTAATGCCCGTCACCTCGCCTCAAGATTATTATATCATTGGTAGAGAGATGGTTATGGTTTATTTCGTATTATTTTGCAAAACGTGTCGTGGGATCGGTTCCAATGGTGTGTAATACATTATTCTAGATCTCGATGTGAATGTAGGCCTGATAAAAATACCGATCTTGTCTTGCCTGTACCACAGCAGTGGCAGGCTCGCAGCAGTTTCCAAGACATAGCCAAAAGCCCAATAATCTAAGTAGGCCAGAGTTCGAGTAAAAATGATGAACCACAAAGAAAATAAGTCTTTCTCTTTGGACATTAAACATCTGACTGTCAAACTACAGCCGAAAAAATAAAAATCTTATCTTAAAAATTATAATACTTTTGGCTAAGTCCCTTAACAACTTAATATCATAATGGTACGGGTTACTCCGGTTCTTGCTCGTATTCCCGTAATAAAGTTTCGTAAGGGTGGGTTAAGTGGGGCTTCAAGACCCGCCGCTGCAGCTCCATCAGTGTCAAGCGCTCCACCAGCTGCACCCACAGCAGCTGCAGCCGCGGTAGGTGTTTCACATTTTAGTAGCATAATATTACTTACACGTTTTATATTTATCTACATAACTGTAAAGGCTTTACCAGTCTCTCAGTCTTTGTCACATGCCATTCCTATAGGTAGTCTATTATTGGCATCCAGTTACTTGTAGCTTTTTTTTATTAGAATTTGGCTACTTATATGTACTTCAGACATAAAAAGAAAATCAATCATAGTCTGATCTGACTGGACCCCTTGAATTTCCTTATGAGTACAGAATTATGTAAGTAGTGCAAGAAGTAAATACTAGCTCTGTGAAACGAACACAACAGGGAGAATTTAATGTTTTTAACTATAAATTGATAAAAATCAGCTAACTATTACAAAATGTAATATTCAGCCTATCAAGTTCCTAAATGTATATTACATTCATACATATTTTATATCTTTTTTTAGTCATCTCATGTGCAGTCAACAGCAGCTATGAGTACATCAGCCGTGCCAGATATAGATCTGCCTCTTCGCTACAGAAGGCAACCTCTATCAGATGAAGAAATTGCTCACATCAACGGCGGAGGAATTGTTTAGTCCTTCAACTTAAAATATAGTAGATGCAGTTTTCAAAAGTAGAACTTGGTTAATAATATAGTTATTATATCTTAGTATTTTTCTAAATTAAATTTGTTTATAAAACATACACAACTTTGCTTTGGATTAAAAGAAAATGCAATCTATGTGTGATGTCAAATCCATAGCCTGATTATACATATAGTAGGACTAAAAATTTTTTTGGTAATTATATCTAAGCTAAATTTACTTCACTACAGATAAAAGATTTTTAATTTTAGAAGTATTCTCCATGATAAAATAAGACCAAAAAAATCTGCTTTGAAAATACTAGAAAACACTATCAGACTAGATAAAGATCAATTATTGTAAGTGGCTTACTCAAAGCTAAAATAGCCAAGTTGGTTCTATGTATATTTATTTTCATGGCTTGAGATGGTACTATTAAATATATTAAAATTATATACTTTGAATAAGTTGCTCACTAGAAACCCGTGTGCCTTTCACACGCCATAGCTCCAAATCTGCTGTGGACCATCCCAGTCAAAATAAATAATAATCAATATCCACAATATAATTAAATATTGCTTAATATTGCAGACAGAAATTGAAACTCGTAAAGAGGCAGAACCTGTAACAATGGGAGTAATAAGAGTTCCGCGTGGTGTTCTGATTGATTGCGGCGCTAAGAAAAAGGAAGTTATATCGCTAAACATTGTTTTACAAAAATGTAGTAAAAAGTAATAACTGGAACATCAAACCCTGGGATCTAGAAGAGCAAATCAATTCATTTTATCTGTCAAGAAATCTAAAAGTCAATTGATGGATACCTTGACGAAAAATACAACTGAATTTTGTCACTTTCGAGAGAAACGAGCTCAAATATTTTTACTATATTTCATGAGCTAGTGAAACTTGTACCAAATGAAGGGAAATCAAATCAAGAATATGTATATGTTATCAAATATACAACGACGTGAGAAAAGTATAAAGTATACGACTTATAATCATGGAAGTAATGTTTATATTTACGTTATGCTGCATCCACGCTCACGGGCCGCTCGCGTTCAGCTCTCGGACCGTTCGCAAGCATATCGCGATAAATTAGTACCTCTCAGAAACCCGGGCGCGAGTATTTAATTAGTATAAAATTGTGGATTGGTACTTGCTGTTATTACCTCTGTGGTAAAAACTATTTTTGCTATAAAAATATAATTTATAGCAATCATTGAACTTATGTAAAAACTATATATGAATAAAAATGCGAAGTGCTATTCATTAATTCGTTTATTATTTAGGAGTATAATCAGTGTACAAAATATAAATAAGATACAATAAAGAAATAATTAGACATGCTCTAATAATACCGAACATTGAGTTTTTCGTTTTGGATGGCCCACATCTGTGTAGGCGACCCATTGTAAGCGACATCGCTATTAGCCTCGAACTTGATTATGCCAAATTTAGCAAATTTATTTTTCCACTGTTGTGTTTGAGGTAGGCGGAGTAAAGCATTTATTATTGCCTTTTTTATCTCGTCTGAAACAAATACTTGTGACAGGATTGATACTTAGTAGGTAACAATGGGCAATTAGACTTCGAGCATAACATAAGCACTCCACCGAGTTCAGCTCTTCGTATTCAGTCATTGCCAGAGTATAGGGCACCCGCGTCCTATATTAAGTTTGCCTATAAATTGATTCAGTTTGGTCTATCTATGACATATTACCTTCTTGCTTCTGCACACGGCTTTGCTCCACGTTCTCGTGGGATAAAAGTAGTCTATGTGTTAATCCATGCCATAATCTACCTACCACTGTTTCAAATTTCATCGCGATCCCTTCAGTCGTCTTGACGTGATTGAATAACAAACATACATACGAACTCATAAACTTTCGCATTCATAATATTAATAAGAAGTAAGATTAGATACGCTAGTTACCATCGATCACGAAATACAGTACCTACGTATTGCATCTTATGGTGGAATTGACAAACCGATTAGCGATTGCCTCATTGTTATTGACAGAATGCTGCCTACCATACGAGGGGCTTCTGGTTCGATTTTCTATTTAAATACCACTAAGTTTGGAAATCATTAGGGGAGGCCCGATATTTATAGGAAAATATCGTGTTATCTCGCGTTTGCACGTATGTATCATGATAACAGTAGGTACTTAGGTACTTATTAAATATGAAAATACACTCACCACTTAGTTTAGCATTAACCACAATGGGATATGGTGGCAATCGACCTAATGTTTCCAGGGTTATGATATCTTTGCCACCATCGTACATAAACTTTTTTGAAAAAAGTAGAGTTGTAGAATCAACTGCAGCCCATTCTGCTTGTTTAGAGAGCACCATCTGAGCCGACGACAAATGTGATCCAGATCCTGAATAAACGATAATTAGAATTGACATAATATTTACAGATATTGCATTATTTACTTCATAATTATAATACATTCACAGTACTTAGCAGAGATCCAAAAAATGAAGCATTTTCGCCTTTTTCTTTCAAAGTTTTCAATACAATTTTACTTCCACTCAGAGATTCCTCGTCGCTGTATGCAAATGTACAACCGCGGAGATCCAGTAAAGTATTTACGTTATGAGCCCTGTTATAATAAAACCGTATTATAAACAACTTCAATAGTTCAATAAAACAATATTAACAGTTTGGCAGCTAATTGTAGAATAATAGAAGACTCTTTCTTATCACGAGTCAATGACATGCTGATAACATTTTATCTATCGTGTTGTGTATTTATTTCAATGGAAGCAAAGTTCGTAAATCGTTTTTGTTATTTATAATAGGCAGATACGATAACTACCGCAATTCTTTCTTACTTAACTGGACAATTAATTTAAAAGATTTGCGGATTCTTACTTCTTATCACTGTGAATGATGATATCAGAAAAATATCCTGGTTTATTTTCCACATTCATCTGGTGAGCGAATACTGGTGTTACTGGTAGCAATTCAATGTTAACGTTACTCTTTTCTCGCAGTTTCATATATGAAGACGCTGTCATGAACGCTGAAATGTAAATTATAGTACCTACTATACACGACGTCTTAATCACCACAACGAGCTTGTCCATCGTTTTGAGTAAAGTTTATAAGGTGGGTAGGGAACATTAGCACCTATGCGGCTATTCAGTTTTATTATGTTAGGTAATCTTACCCAAATCCACTTTATTAGTGGAAAATGGATCAGGACGATCCGGTAATGGTCCTGGGCTTCTGCTTTCATATTGCAAAGTGGTATAACAATCCAACGCTTCTTCTAGTAACTCCAGTATTAATTCGTAGAGTTGAACCGGATGCGTTGGGCACATATATGTCACAACGCGCAATTCTTGTTTGCTCTGGGACATTTTGTGGAAAGTAGTATACAAAACCAGTGTAACAACTAGACTAAACTCCGGTAAACTTATTCAGCTTTATTAAAGAGATTATAATGAGCTCATTTGTTTGTTATGAGCATTACATTAATAGCTTGGTTGTTTATTATCGTAAAAACACGATAAACGCTGCACGCTCCGATCATGTACCTACTGTCTATTATAGATTCTTTGGTAAAACTGCCACAGAAATCAGAATGACGTCACGAGCACGCGATGCTCGCGTGTTTACAGGTTATTCGATTAGTCGGCAGTCAGCCGATGAACCGAGCTATGTACAATATAGTTGTCGTCTGTTTCAATAAAGTGCTATTCAAAATAGTTTCTTAGTAATAGATTTAGAGCTATGTACAAATTGGTACAACTACAATAAAATACTTACAGTCTCGTATTTTGTAAAGGTTTCGGAAATGAACCCATAAAGGAGCGATGTAGTTTTTATAGGGCTCACCGAAGAAGGAAGTGAACTACTACTGTACTACCGTACAGTAGTAGTTCACCTGATTTTATTCTGTTTGTCGAATGACGAAGGTACGTAGATAGGTACCTATCTTAGCAATTTAAATAATATACAGATACAAGGTGTTCGTTTCCTACATAGTTATTAGTCAGTGGTCTACAAAGTAGTTATTAGAATTGAACCAATATTTATCAGATTAAATCATTTGCAAAATGATGCGTCGTAATTTGTATGTAGGTAGGTAACTAATATTCTACCCTTAACACTCTTTACAGATTAAAGGCAATACCTATACAAAAAATTAACCAGCAGTAGGTAGTTTCTTATTATTTTTTCCATCAATAACCTACTTATTTATTACTCCACATATCAATGAATTTGGAATTTTTTTAACAGACTTATTAAAAAGGCCCACATTTCGGTGGGTATGATTTTTTTCTTATAGATAGGTACCACGTATGTAGTTGCATCGTTTCGCTAACTTAGTAGTTAAGTAGTACATCAGACAATTGTTGTCAATTTACTGATAAAAACACCATTCATGTGTTTACTGATCAGGGAATCGAAGGAACCTTCATAATTGATTCATTTATACACTGTCTGCAAAGTTATTTGTTATGCAGTCAGAAAATTTGCAGAAAAAGCTTATCACACTAAATTATAGTATAATTTAGAATGAAACCATATCTCTTGCAAATATTGGTCGGTTCAATTGCCAACCAATAGTTACCGTCTTGACTCTGTATTAACCCAATCTTTATTTTTTTACCTGCATACTTGGTATGAAAAATAACATATTTGTAAACGTACAACTTATTTGTAAACAGTTCTCAATGCTGTTTAGTAATAAAATACATATTACAATAACATTATCATTTATTGAACATCAATATCAATTAATTTTAAAAATAAATCTTAAAATTTAAATAAATAGCATCATACATTCGACACTAGTACATACACTACAGCCAGTAATCTCTTATAAATATAGTTCTTTTGAAAAATGTGTGCATTATTCCTGTTGTCACATCTACTTAACATGTATTATTACTACAGGGAATTAAAATGCTGTGTAATGTGAAGAGCATATCCATTTCAGTCATTAGTTTGACAGCAATTATGTTACTTATGTTGTATGAATATACTCTTTTACACGAAGGTAAAATTAAACAGGCCTGCGGAAGTTCTTGCCAGCGTATTTGGCAGCGGCGCCGAGTTCCTCTTCAATGCGGAGGATCTGATTGTACTTGGCAAGACGTTCAGAGCGGCAGGGTGCACCAGTCTTGATCTGACCGGTAGACAAACCGACTACGAGATCAGCAATGAAAGTGTCTTCAGTCTCTCCAGACCTAATGAGAAATTAAATTAGTGAAATGTACAACTAATAATTAATATTATAATTTGCATTATAACATTCCAACACAAATTTATTAGCACAAACCTGTGGGAAACCATGGTGCCCCATCCATTTTTCTTGGCCAGCAAGTGAGCATCAATGGATTCAGTGACACTGCCAATTTGGTTTACCTTCAAGAGCAAGCAGTTGCAAGCTTTCTTCTCGACGGCGGTAGCAATACGCTTAGGGTTTGTTACCTATAAAATAAATAATGGAATTGTTAGTCAGCTAACTTAGAATATGATGATTTCAATGCTGAATTTGAAAAGTTTATATAGTACTTACAGTAAGATCATCCCCAACAATTTGGATGGGTGTGCGGGAAGTGAGGCTACTCCATGCCGCCCAGTCATCTTGGTCGAAGGGATCCTCAATGGACACCATGGGAAAGTCTTTGATGAAGTCAAGGTACACCTCAGCTAACTTCTCAGATGACAGGTAGTCAGCAGGGTTGGACTTAGGGTTCTTGAAGTCAAGGTCATAGGTGCCATTCTTGAAGAATTCAGAGGCAGCTACATCCATTCCAATTTCAATCTGAAAAGATAAATACAATAATATTAGTACCAAGCGGTCACTGGTGACTGCTCTCCACTAAATACATTATAGACCTTATTTCTAATGTTTAGAGACTGCTTTTGTATGAAACAAAAGGGGATGATTTTCAGTGTGTTATGCTAATAAATACCTATTTACTTCGTTTTTATACATGTGTTGTCGTTTGTGATAAATGTGTGTAACATAAGAAATACATAAATAAATAAAATCAAGTATATACCTTGCCAGTGTAACCAGCCTGCTGAATGGCATCCTGGATCAGGAAAAGAGCATCTTTGTTGTTCTGGATGTTGGGAGCAAATCCACCTTCATCACCCACAGCAGTGGAGTCAAGACCAAACTTTTCCTTGATGATCTTCTTCAGGAAGTGGTACACTTCTGATCCCATACGCATTGCCTCACTGAATGAGGAAGCACCTGAAGGAGAAAACATATGGTTTCATTTAAAACTGTTCAAATAACATTGCCAAATAGTTTAATATCTGAAAACATTATCAGAAATTTGCAGCACACTGTTTGCACACACCAGAAATTTGCAGAACTAAATAATATTTGAATGTAGTACAGAAAATCAATAGTATTAACCTGTGGGTAAGATCATGAACTCCTGCATAGCAAGCTTGTTGCCGGCATGGGAGCCTCCGTTGATGACGTTGAATGCTGGTACTGGAAGTACAATATCAGCATTTCCAGCTAAGTCAGCCAAGTGTTTGTACAGGGGCACTCCCTTCTTTGCAGCACCAGCCTTGGCAACTGCCAAAGATACACCAAGGATGGCATTGGCACCCAACTTTGACTTGTTTTCAGTGCCATCCAACTTCAGCATAAAGTCGTCAATCTGTTAACCAATTACTCAATTATTTAATTACTTCCTACAAATATACTTCTACATATTTAACCCATAAATCCCCAAGCGGTCACCGGTGACCGCTTTCCACTAATATTACATTACATTATAGACCTTTTTTCTAATGTTTAGAGACTACTTTTGTATGACCAAATTTAGGGGGTGGATTTCAACGGGTTAATAATAATGCTTAACATATTACTGTGTCATGTTTTAAAGAGTATAAAAATATTCACTTTTCACTTACAATAATAATTTTTTGTAAATATTGTGTTTTCGTGTATTATTTATTGCTTATTTTCTGATAACTCATATTGAAGGGTTATCAATCAGAAATATTTGTTTAATATGTTAATTTTACATCATATATTTGTAGGTGTGGTGGCATTGATTAATTGTGTACTGTCCTCTTTTGAGTACCGTCATTATAGACACAATTAAAGAACAATAGCTTGCGGTCACCGGTGTCCTCGCGGTGTATGACAGTTTAAACTATTGTAAAAAAAAAATATGAGTAAAGTAGAAACAGCATTTATTTTTGTTGAATAATGTGGATAATATTTTTTACATGTATTTATGATTTATTTCAAATTTAAAACTGTCCTTGATCTGACTTTTAAGGTCAAAGTGAAGGTTAAATTAAGTATTGTACTTATTGAACATACCTCCTTCTGCTGTGTGACCTCAAGGTTTTGTTTGAGAAGCTCAGGAGCAATGATGTCATTGATGTTCTTGATGGCAGTGAGGACACCCTTGCCATGGTACTCTCCCTTCACATTGTCTCTGAGCTCTAAAGCCTCATGGACACCAGTAGATGCGCCAGATGGTACAGCCGCACGGAAAAGGCCTAGCTCTGTCACCTATATCAACAATTAACTGTTATTGGTGACTAGTTAACTCTTGTGCCAGGGACTGATATTCTGAATGAAAATAGTCTATAAATTATTCTTGTAAATATCTTGTTGGATTTACTTAGGTACTTGTATAGTTCGAATTTTTTATTACATTTTATTTGGATAATAAAATATTGTAATTTCAACTACAATATTTATTCGACTACCAAAAATGGAAAAATATGGGGTGCTACTTGAGTCAGCCAACTGAATAAAAATAAATATTAATTTTATTACAACATTTTATAACAATATTTTGAACATTATTTTGAAGTATATAAGGGAAACTTCTTCTTCACGAAAACATATTGCTCAGCAGTTAAAAGAAAAAATTATTCAGGATCTTAATTAAAATAGTATTTTTAAATTAATAGTAAATACACACCAGATCAACCTCCACAGTGGGGTTGCCACGGGAGTCGAAGATTTGACGGGCCTTGATTGACTTGATCGGCATTCTGGACATGAAAACAAATAAACTCCTGTTTAGAGTAATTAATATTGAACATAACTTCTTTCTTTTACTTTGCGCCACTAACAGGTATCGTTAGGTACCTACCCCAACGTTTTCATCAAAGGTTCCAAGGTCAACTATAGGTTGAGTTAGTTTAGTACAGTACCGTAGACAAAATTAATTAAAAAAAATACAGAACAAAGGAAAACTTGTAAAATAATATTATAATGAGATACGTTACAAAAATACAATTACCTACTAAAATAAAATGACGTATGCACAGTTAAACAAAAAGTAAGATAATCTAAAAACTGGCTTATATAAGATTTGTTGCAAAATCCACCGTGTTCATTGAATATACTACTAAAACTAAGGTTATTTAGTAACTTTTTGTAAGAAAATGCATACTCACTTGAATACGATTTCGTAATTTCAGTACTCCAATGAAAATCTAAATGCACAATATTCGCCGGATCCGCCGGAAAGTACCTACTGTCGCAAAGTAGTTTTGTCCTTCACAAGGTGAAATTAGAGGGGAAGCAACGGAACTTTCCGAGATACTAAATGAAACAGAATGTTATAGATAAAAGAAAAACCTTTACAAAGAAAATTAACACGTATCATATGCAAAATATATTGAAGCCAAATAAAATCATTCATTGAATTACAAAAAAAGTTTCGTCTATTTTCATAAAATAGTAAGTACGGTTTTTCAATAAAAAATTACGTAGCTGGTACGTACGTCCAATGTGTCAATGCTGTTAATTTTGTCAATTTTCATTTTCAGATGAACATGATGGTCATCAAGCAAACAAGATAATTTGTTTATTTATTTCTAACATTCCGTAACTTCTCGACTAAAATGAGTGATTCAGATGATAAATCTGAAAAGAAACCTATTGTAATAAAAAATGCAACTGATTTACAAAGACTTAAGTTAGAAAAACTAATGAAAAATCCCGTGTGTATATAACATACTAATAAATTTTATTCTTGAAATGATAAAAATTTTACATTCGTTATTAGATGTATTTACATGACTTTATTATTTTCAGGATAAGCCCGTGGTAATTCCAGAGCCACCGAAATCTAAATCGTTAGCTGCACCACCGGACTTTGTCCGTAATGTAATGGGTTCTAGTGCTGGAGCTGGCTCGGGTGAATTTCACGTATACCGTCATTTAAGGCGAAAAGAATACGCGAGGCAGAAATTCATACAAGAGAAAAGTGAAAAAGTAAGGAATAACAACTGAACAATATTATTTTGCAAAAAACCAACTCTGGTATATAAAAAAATTAATGGAATACAAGGTTTTTAAGGTTTTATTTTATGGCATAAGCCGTTAAACGGACAGACGGATCACCTTAAGTGTACCTGTGATCTACAATGAATAAATGAATAAAAAAAAAAAAACCTTATGGTAAGTAATTAGCGTCGCCCATGGACGCCTGGTACACCAGAAACATTTGGGATTGGGGAGATTGATTAGAAATGGGGGGAGGGTAGCTGGGCCCCCAGGTAACCCCACTCACATGACGAAACAACACGTGTTGCTCATCGGTTTTCTGTGAGGCTGTGGTCGAGCCGGCCGGCCCATTCGTGCCGAAGCATGGCTTAAAATTTGTTTTAATTACAGTTTTATTTAGCTTGCCCTATTTGTTTGTTACAGATAGATCTGAGTGGACCAACCACTTTTAAACTGTCAAACACCAAGCGGTCACCGGTGACCGCAACCTATTGTTCTATAATTGTGTCTATAATGACGGTACTCGAAGAGTTAAACTGTCAAACACCAAGCTATCACCGGTGACCGCAACCTATTGTTCTATAATTGTGTCTACAAAACTGGTACTCGACGAGTTAAATAACAATGAATATAATCTGCAACTACCTCCATTATGGATATGAAACGAAAAGGCTTGATTTTATTGAATAGAGCTCAATAATTTTTTTATGTTGTATTTTTAACAAGTTGTCTTTTTTAATTCAAGATCAGAATTACTTAGTATTTTATAATTCCAGGAAAAACTTGATGATGAATATCATCAGAAAATAGAAGAAAATCGAAGAGCAGCACAGGAGAGAACAGCAAAGAAAAGAGCCAAGAGATTGAAGAAAAAGAAAAATGCTAAACTAAAAGGAAAGAAGCCAAAGACAGAAAATAGCCAGAACCCCTCATCTCAGTCAGATTCCAGTGGAGAAGAAGATGACAACAATGAACAGAATGAAACAAACACAGAGACTTCTACTGAAGTTAAAAATAATGAAAATAGGCCATGATTTCACATCATGCCTAGTAAATAAGAAAATACATAAATGTACAAATATAACAGCATTTTATTACATTAACATTTGAATGTCCATTCTAAACAAATATACAAAGATAAACAAGATTTATAACACAAATATAAAAATTAAAATCTAGAACATATTCAACATATACACAGCTAAATTCAAAATAAACTCATATTTTTCTTAAACAGATTCTACAAACTTAATTTCACTTCCAAAAAAATAAGGTGGTAGTGGCGGGAGTGAGGTGGTGAAGCTGTCATGCTCTGCTATCGTCATGTGGTTCCAAGAATTGGTACTATGCACTGTACTGGTAAATTGACGAGCACACCATGGGATTATACTAAATCTGCAACAATTTTATTAATATTATAAATGCGAAAGTTTTTGACTGTGTATGTTTGTTACTCAAACACGTCAAAACGGCAATACATAGGTTAACTTTCAATCCCACGGTAACGCGGGCGAAGCCGCTAGCAGAAGCTAGTTTGTAATAATTTGTTAACCACCTCGTAAGTTTACGTCAACAGACTTAAATTTTTGTTTGTTTGCTTGTCTACTTTAGTATGAGATGATAAATAGATATCATAGGAGTTTTTATGATAAAGATTTGATTTGTAAAGATGTTTTATTAAGCTTTTCGGTACTCACCCAATCATTAATAATACAAATGCAGTTAAAACATTGGCGATAATCAGGAACCACAATGAAAAAACCGTCATTTTTATGTTTTGTCGTTACTGTTCTTTACCCAAATGATGCAATAGATTGGTGTTTAATTTTAATATGCAGTTAGTTGATAATTTTATTTATTGCAACTTTATGAACCTACCCACAATTTTATTTCTTTTTCATGCAGTAGTTCACGGTGACTTTACATAATATTTCTTGTATGTCTTCGCATTGCAACTAAATGATAGTGGCATAGGATAATAATTAGTTGTCAGTCAATTCAGTTGGTGCAAAATCAAGAAGAACACAAATAAATAAAAATAAAACTGCATAAGATATAATTCTCACAATTTTAATAGAACTGTAGCAATGAATACAAGTAAATTTTAATTAAATTTTAATATTAGTAACTATTATTATTGGACCGAAGCCATAACACTATCTTCGTTCTTCTTGAGTATGACAAAGCCTTCCATTACAGGTGATAGAGGGATATACTCGTCCGTGGCGAGTTCAGCGCGCTCACCAAACGATAGTAACACGGGGGTCGTATGCGTATGGGATCCGGCGATTGTTTTCGGAGTTCCGGCCTTACCAATAACGTCAACCGCCTGAAAATACAAATATTATAATTTCACGTTCTACACTCTAAATGAAATGGCACACATTGTTTACGAGAATATTATTTACCTGTCCAACACGCACGCTCACATTCAAGGGCTGAAGGTTTTCGTCAAGGGTCACCAACCAACGGGGCTGCATCGACGTGGCCAGCACATACAGCAAGTAGTGAGATTTTCCGAGGATGACTGTGAAAGGAAAAAAATAATGTTTTATTACTCTTATTTTGGAAATCACAAACAAAAAGTAGTTTTTTACAAATAAAATAAAACGTAAATATACACGACTTAAGAACTTTCCCCTTAAAAAACGATACTTACTGTTCTTACAATCCAAAAAGGCGGTAAGTACAACTAGTAGGCCTGCGAGTGCTGGCTGGTTGATGAGGCGTCGGTCGGCGTGCGTCGGGCAGAGGGTGACGGTTCCCTTGCCAGCGTGGCACAGGCCTTGCGCCAGTCGCACCATGAACAAGTGCACCGGGGACTTGCCGTGGTAAAGGGCTAGTGCACGCAGCATTGTAGCCAACCTTTATAGCAAATAATTAATAAAATGTTATGTGGGCTGTTAACTTCTATGAATGTTAACGAAATTACAAATTAAGTGTTAATTGGACTGGTTTTATAATGTGAATATTTACCTGGCGTTGTTAGTTCCAGCGCCGACGAGACCCATGGCAAAGATAGCGTTGTAGGCGACGTCATTGTCGGAGTCGTGCGAATACTTGTTGAGTACGTCGATGACAGCCAGCTGTGGGTTGGAGATAGAACACAGAGCGATAGCCAACGGCACCGCCCGACGCACAGCTGGCTCACCGTAACGACCCTGAGAAATAATTATAATTTATTAGTTAAATCTCTGAGTAAACAAGGCATTGCTTTTACAACCTACCTGATGAAATGTAGTAATAATAATCAATAAATGAAAGTCTTATACTATAAAAGTGTTCATAGCTTGCTTTTAATTATAATATACTCAATGTAGAATAAACACTATACATACTTTGGACTGAATAAAGCATCATTTAAAAATCTTCTTTTATCAATTATCATACATCAATCAAAAACAGCACATCCACAGTAGTATTTGACATTTACAAGTCTTTATTGTATACCACTCACCAGTTGTCCGAATATCCTGGTGCACATCTCGGCGCCGGTTTCCTCAGCCAGAGCGATAACGGCGACTCCGAGAGTAGCGACAGCTTGTACGGAAGACAACTCCTTGTTAGCTTCCTTCTCCTTTTCTTTCTCCTTATTTTTACTGTCCTTCGACGACTTTCCTGTAACACCAAACAAAAACAATGATTACGTTGACGAGTCATGATTCCCATAAAGCCTGTTAGATCCATAGGCAAAGTATTAAAAAAGAATAAAAAATTGAAAAAAAAAAAACAAGTGCAAAATTTTACATGATTCTTCAACCCTGCCGCTTGTCGGAATCTAAGCAAACCATGATGTACTTTATATTCATATATATAGTTATGTATATATATAGTTTGTATCCAATATAGTGACATGTTGTTTTCTGTTGGTTTACATGACAATTTAATTTATGGCTTACCTTTCGAGCTCTTATCGTCTTTAGAGCTACCAGCCGAGCTGCTGCTGGCATTACTCTCCTTAGACTCCTTCTTATCCTGTTTCTTGAATGCTGTGTCCTCAGCTGAAGATTGTTCGTTCTAAAATAGAAAATATGAAGTTATTCTTCATTTAGCTTTATTGAAAAGTGTTGACTTGCGTGTGTTGACTCTCAAAACGCGAATGTTTGACACATTCAGGATTTACTTTTTGTGTTCATATCAGATCAGAACCAATTTTACATTAAATAAAAAGTGCGCAAAGTTAGCTAAATTATGACAATTTATGACTTAAACAACTTAAGAACATCGAAACAAAAGTGGGCAAATCTGAGTGAGATAATAATACATGGCGTGTGCTTACATCAGTGTCGTAGTGTTTGGAACAGATGTGTAGCATCTGTTGCACGACGAGTACGTCGCCGGTGCCCGCGTAGGCGCACATGGACAGCGTGGTCTGGCACAGCGACTGCTGCGGCTCCGGCAGTACTTCCAGCGCCGCCATCGTAGCCTCCGTGCGCTCCTTGCAACCTACACGACAATGCATTCTTATATTTATTGCCCATTACTATAATAATTCATTTGCTGGGTCGGCAACGCTCTAGTTACTGTAGCAACGCCTCTCGTGTTGCAAAGTTCTGTCTTGCTTATGGTGAAAAATTATACACAAATTACAAAAATACTTATTTATATAACAATGATGTCTCACCTAAGAAGCACAGTCCAAGACCCAAATGAAGGAATCTAGCGTAAGTGGACGAATGTAAGTCTTTGTTGTCGTCAATAAGACGTTGAATGATAGCGCAGGTCACCTGTAAACAATTACAATGAAAACATTAAACATATTATTAGTAATCGATTCTAGTAGGTATTATAAGTATCGTAAAATTATCCAACAGTTAGTCAGCTAATAATAATCTATGTCTTATCGAGTCTAATGAAATTATTAACAAGTAATGTACTTACGTCCCCATTACAAGAACCAACGGCGATCAAACCGCACGAGATGGCGGCGAGCGCGCATATTTCCGCAGGAGCGGCGGTGTCACTGAGCACAGGTAGCAAGTGCGACAGCACGTCTTCACGTTGTGTACCCGCGTATGCGATACCTAAGCCTGGCAATATAAATGGTTTTGTTAGTTTTTACTTAATAGAACTTTACTTTTAATTAGACTTTACTTACTAACAAAGCAAGTGGTTACCTTTATTATATCTCTTTCAGAGTGGTGTCTCACAGAGCCGTGTTTTGCCTAAGCGTTAGTACGCGTAGATACTTCGTATCTACAGTTAACTGTGTGGAGGCGGCGCGGACGAGACGACATCGTGTGCAGGAACGCTAAGGCAAACTAACTAAATGCCAAAAGCGCTAGGTTACGAAGGAGCGCTGCGATAAGCGCGTGCCCAACAGCCCATAAAGTGGCGACGGAACCAAAATAAATTAAGGGCACCTATTAGGTGTTTGCCTACGGCGCTCTCTAGGTGTGATTTGCTTCTCTAACTCAAACATCGGGAAATCTCAGAAAGTCAAAAAGATACTCATAGAATGAACTTACCCAAGACGCTGCCAATCCGCAGATTGGCGCTTGAATGGAGCACGTAATCTGACAATAGAGCGAGGGCAGGGTCGCATTCGTTTCGCACCCCGCAGTTAACCAATCCAAGAGCAAGCAGGGCCCCGGCCTTAATGTGCTCGTCTGCTGTGTATAAATACTTATCGATGGGCGTCAGACCTCCATCTACATCCCATAAGTGGATCATGCCAAGAGAAGCTGCAGCTGATAGCATTCCTAAAAAAAAGAGGTCTCAAATTGTTAAACAGTTATTGCAGTTAGCACAAATGTATCCATTCGTAGGGAGGGTTGAATGTTTGTTACTTGATTTAGAACAGTTGAACATATCATATTAAGCTTGAAATAGATAACCAGTCACTTATGCTATGCAGTCGCATAGCTTCCTATCTAAGAAAAAAATCGAATCCTGTAGGAACAAATGGGTGCAATAAAGTTTAATTTACAATAGATTACCCAGAAAATATTATTCTACAACAACATAAATTATGTACCATGGTCTTTGTTCTTATACATCCACTTATTGCCATCTTCGGTGGTGACGAGCTTATCGCGTCCGAAACCAGCATTAACGAAGGCGTTGACAAAAGTGGCAGAT